GGGGGGGGGGGGGTGACCTCGGGGGCTGGACCCACACGCTTTACCGTGACTGTACAACGGACTGCACAAAGTTTTTATATGAACCGTCATAGAGGTATATTTTCTGTTATAAAGGTTTATTTTTTTATTTTTATTTTTGCACTCGAATCCATTCTGGTGTGTTTGGCCCAACTCCTCTCCACGGAATCCTTGTCCTGCCGCCCCATGCTGCCCCCCCCCTTTGGGGAGAACCTGGAAAGGTTTAACCTTCATTCAAAGTGGAGTGTCTGTGCGTTAGTGGAGAGCGCCCCCTAGCGTACACACCAGAGAGCGAGCTTGGCCTTTCCACACACCAACCAGCCACTGCTCTCTCTGGGGGTGTGTGGGGCTTGTTAGGATAATTACAGCCTCGCGTGTGAGACTGGAGTTCGGGGTGGTCGGATGGGTCTGAACAGGACCTGTACGTTCAGGACTCACCTCTGTATATGTACTTAGCATATTTATTTTGCCTGGGACTTAAATTGTATATTTTGCTGACAATCTTGCATTGTGCATATCTGTAACTCAGCTGCTGCTTTCACTTTGATATGAATCCCCCCCCTCCACACTGCCTGTAGGACAGTGTCACTTTCTGGCTTTTTGGGTATTAAATGCTGATTTCAGGCCTTTTAGGAGGGAAGGTGTTAAGAGAGGCTGGGGTCTCTCTGTCCAAAATGAGTGTTGTCGCCCCCAGTTTGGTGCGGGGGAGTAAAGCTTTGTATCTTATACGGATTTTAAAGCTTCTCTCACACTGTTGCTTTCTGGAAAGGAAATTGAGAAATGCATTGTGATATAACGGTAAGTGGCCGTTAGGGGGTGGGGGCGGGGGGTGACTCTACAGGGTTTCACTTTGCCTGACCTGCTCCCCTCTAAATACTGTGGTTTTAAGTTTTTTGTTGTTTTTATTAATGCTTAGACACCCTGTCCACACAGCAGCTCCGTGGAACCAGGCCCAGGTTGGTCTGTGTGTCCCAGATGGCAGTTGGCTGGGTCTTTCCCGGTTGCGAAATGCTAATATTTATGCCTGTGTTTGTCTCGTGGTGGGTGTAGATCATCCACGGTGTCTGCTTATAGCTGCTGGGTCTGTCCTGGAATCCAGGGCGATCCCATCTGCGCTGTTGAGTAGGCTCGATGGTAAAGGGAGACCCAATGACCTCACATGAACGGTTACCTGTGGATGATTCAGAGGGGGTGATGCTGTAAGAGGGAATTTCCTCAGGAACCCAACACATGAAGAAGCCCTTTCCTGTTCATCTGGCAGCTTTGAACTTCTTTGGCACACAGACGTCAGGAAATGGCAGGGAGATGGCAGGATTGGGACCCCTGGCTGACCACTGTCCCCCCCCCCCCATGTCCTTTACAGGGCCTGCGCTTTACTTAAAAAAAATAAAATAAAAATTAAAAAAAAAAAAAAAACCTTGGCTCGTTTTCAAGCCAGTTCAATCCACTCCACTCTTGTTTTTATCATGGTTTCATATTTCATATCCACTTTTAAAAAAATCTTGAAAAACTTTAATTCCCCCTTCAGAAAGCAGCAGCTTTTTTTTCGATCCTAAAGAGATTATTTAAGGTTTCGGGGTCCCATAGTGAGGCCAAGAGATGAGTACCTAAAAACACTGTCAGGAATTGTGCAGAGCAGTCTCTATATTCGCTGGTTTAGAGAATGGGGGGCATTCTGGACAGGCGCTCCGTGCTCATCTGGAGGAGAACGTGTATATATGCTTTTATAATTACTGTCTAAAGTTTCGAAGGGAAGTTCTAAATAAATCTGATATATTTCTGTATTTTACCGTGTTATTGTCTTGATGATTTAATGTGGGCTGTATCCTAATCACCAAGTAAAGCACCCTAAGCCCCCTCCCTGACCCCCCCACACAGGAAGGTGAACATCTGCGTGTGAGTTAGGAGGCTCGGACGTCATCCCGATTTTCCTAAACTGCGTTCTAGTTTGAGGGCTTTCCAGATACTTATGCGACATATTTCACACACAGGCTATTATTAAACGCGAATAATCTGCTTCTTCATATCCTCTAGTGAGGGGGTGAGGCTGCACTTTTACAAGCATGGTGAGTAATGATGTTTGCACCATATGTTACGTGTCTGTTACCCATGCGTGTCCCCCCCCGCCACCGGCCCTCTTCCGGATGCGGCACGCGAGTACAGATGTGGTTTTTCGCTGGACGCTGTGATCATTTGCTTGCTTCACCCGTGCCTTCCCAGTGTGTCCTCAGACTGCATTGGCACCCAGAAAACGACAGAGGGCTGTAAGCTGCACCAACCCCCCCCCCCCAATGAAAACCCAAACCTGCACATGGGTAACTCTATAAACAGAGTTAGGCAAAGAGAGAGGGGCTGATGTGACAGTTAGGCCACACTAAGGTTAGCCTGAAGAATCCACTAATCCACTGTCTCCCATTATGAGAATCTGTCATCCTGCTGGCCATCTCTCAATACACGATTTAGAAAGGCGGATTTTGTTAGGGAAGACGCCAACATGACATATGCTCCGGCACAGCATGCGTAGAAATGGAAGGCTAAAGTTCTGCAAAAGTTGTGAAATTTGGATATTCAATAATATAAATTTTGCAGCGGGTGCTGCTGTTCTTGCGTCACTGGCGGCCCAGCGTGCTCCTCTCTCCCTGTACGAGTGTGATGTGTTCCGGCCCGAACGGAACCGAAGGCCATGTTGTATTTCCAAGAGCAACTGGCTGCAGAACTCCACCAGGAGCATCTCCACTGTGGGGCCGGAGACTCGGTAGACTGGATTATTAAGGTTAGTTCCCGATGTGGCACTAACATCATATCCGGCACGATCGTGGAGGTCATGTGATTTCGAGCCTCCTGGTGGTGGTATATCCTCCGTTATACAAAATAATACAATATAATAATATCCTATCCTGTATTATTATAATGCATTATTATGATTTATTATTAGCAATACCATTTATAAAGCTATAATTCTCTATAGACCCTCCTCTGTATTTCTGCAGAGCGGATTTGCGCACTCCCTGCTTTCACAGGGATAAGTCGGTCCCTTTGCACTATTCCCAGATTGCATTAGCCACTTCTCCTGCTTTCACAGGGATAAGTCGGTCCCTTTGCACTATTCCCAGATTGCATTAGCCACTTCTCCTTCCCTGGGACTTTCCCTGATCTCTTGGTTTACAGTATAAAGGCCCATAGGAGCCTCTTCTCACTCAAGAAGACTCACAGCTACCTAACAGCTCAACTGCTGCATGAGCAGAATCGCTGACCAGCTCAGCCAGGTATGTTTGTATTTCTTTATTTCTCCAGAGTGCACTTGCTGGACAGTGAGCTACATCTGTCATTTACGGTACAAACTTGGCCATTAATCATGCTTTCTGGCACAAACACCCAGTTATTTGAATGTTACTTCAGAAGTGCTTACCTGTACGTCCTTTTACTAGGCCAAGCGTGAAAGTGTAACCAAACATCTTATCCCGGAAACAAAACTTATAATTCTAGCGTATCCTTGCTTGGCTTAACAGGAATCCCACTTCGTGTGTCGAGATATGCGCTGCATTCATTTGCCTAAAATGTTATTCAGAGTGATTTCATTGATTTTGCCACAGGGATACCTGTATGCATCACTTTTTTATGCATCAGTTTTTCTGTATGAAGTCATATATTTCAGACTGTATTTCTGTAATATGACTGTGCAGAAGGCCTGACTGTGAACGTTCTGCTTCTGATGAAATTCACTGTGGTTTGGCCAAGATTAAATTTATATTAATAAGACTGGAGTCAGCAAATATTAAAATGGACATGAAATGGGAAGGACAGAAGGGTAGGAAATGTTTACGTGACGTGAAGTCACGGTGGAGAGAGATCTGTCAGTCAGTCAGCTGGTGTCTTTCACAGGACGACCAAGAGCTTTGGTCTATGAAAACCAGCGGACAATAAACTGCCAGCCCAAGGATCCATGTCGCACAGAGAAACTGCCGAACTCATCAGTGCTCTTCAGAGGATGAAGGACAATGAAAAAATTTTAGCCACAGAGTTTGGTGATACTGAGCTGATCTGCATGATGATGGACAGGAGAGTGAATGGTATGCAGATAGTTCCTGTGGATGTTCTAGTCTTGTTCAGTCCTCCTATATCCTTTAGTCACCAAGAGAAAATGCTTTTGCGCGAAGTCTTCTTCATTGCCTTTAACCTGGCACATCTTCTTTAGTCCTGTAATCCATCTAGATGTTGTTCTGTGGGTGATACAGAAAGCAGCACCTGACCCAGTTCTGTGTTCCAGAGGTATCAGTGCTCAGAGAAACCGGCCAAACCCCAAAGATAGTGGCTGGATTCAGCCTATCTAGGACAGTGGAGTGCAGCATCAGTGACATAACCCAGAAGAGCCTGGTGCTGAACCTGGAGAGTCAGGAGCTTCTTGCCATAGCGCTGCAAGGGGGAAACATGTATAACAGAGGTGAGTCCAGTGCAGACTTAGGAGGAGAAACGCAACATCCAGCATCTCTCAGCAGATGTAGTGACTGATTTAAGGGTTAGTCTGGGACTGAGTTTGATATTGTTGAACCGCTATTGAAAATAAATTGTTGTTGGGTTATTTTAGAGATGATTGGGTCACCATACCAATTGGATCATAAAAAAGTGGAGAGATGATATTATATTTCATGCACAGTAAGTAGTGACAGGACTAAAACATTCAGGATCCACTGTTGAATCACTGTGATTTAGGAGGCCATCTTGTGAAAAATGCAAACAGACTTAGTCAGATGCACTTCAGTTAACCTGGGACTCTCTCTCTGGCTCAGTGCAGCTGAGTCTGTCGACCTACCAGGCGCCCATGCTGACCGGGAACTCAGGGCTTCCTACTACTCTCAGAGTCTCTGGCAGCGATCTCTACCTTTGTTGCAGCGGCTCACTGAGCAAGCCTTCCTTAAGCCTTAAGGTTAGAGGTGGATCTATAGGGAGTGGCTAAGCTGACATGCTAATCATTCCTGAGAGTTATATTTTTCAGAATCCTCACCAGTGTTTTCATAAGAAACTTTTTAGTGATTTAACTCCATATTGTGTGATTACATTTCCCACCTTTCGTCATCCAACAGACAACATATTTATCGGTGAATTTTTAAAACAAGTTTTTATTTAGTATTGTGACAAAGGCAATGTCACAAGATCATTAATTTAGTTGACTGAATGCAGTCACAAACTGGTGATATGGTCCCTTCATTTATTAAATTATTTTATAATTATTTACAAAGAACAGAGTTACAGTATATCTGACTCTTTTCCCAAGAAGTACAAGGGACACCCTGGATGGGGTGCCAGTCTATCGCAAGGCACACAGATACAGTGGTACCTCAGTTCTCGAACTCATTAGAACTCGAATTTCTTAAAAGTCGAACCAACCAGTTAAAAAAAAAAAAAAACTAGAGCTCGATCTGAATCTCAGAAGTCAAACCGTTAACGCCGACCTAAGATAACTTGTACGCGCGGGGAAATGAGTCATGCAGCACGTCTCTCAGCGGAAACAAAGGGTAAAGCTTCAGTCTCAGCCTCGCATTAGCTGTGAGCACCGTGCATGTTTACACTAACTGAATTTAGACAATGATAGACAGTAACAGTAATTATTATTATATAATACATTTAAAAATAAAGATTTCTTATTCATTATTTTAATATTAATAATAAATCATTAATACGTTTAATTATAATAATATTGTTGTGCCGAGTGGACAGAACGGAGACAAAGGCGCAGACATCAGGGTATCGGGAATACGGGGTTTAATTACAGGTAAGGCAGGCAAAACGCAGAAGGACAATACAATGACCGGACTGGGGAAACAAACTGAAACGCGGACGAAATACAGAAGGCTAATGACAACAACCAGAAACATCTGATCACACTGGGATTCCACACGGGGTTAACGAGGGGGCGTGGCACACGGTAGGAGCGGACGATCGGGGCAGGACACATTGTTTTTTTTTAACTTTACACATTGTTTGGATACATTTATTTTCTTACTTTACAAAATACCGTTTTGATAAATGTGCTTAGATGTGTTTAGTACAGTATATGCGCTTCTTGTTTTATCAGGTTCATTTTGTGTTTAAATGCTAAAAAAACATATTTATGTGTAATTTTTTGGGCCCGGAAACAATTAATTGGTTTTCCATTATTTGTTATGGGGAAAATTCGATCACAACTCGAACTTTTTCGGATTCGATCCGGAGTTCTGAAAGGACTACATTCGAGTTCTGAGGTACCACTGTATACACTTTGGGAAGTTTAGAGACACCAGTTTGACTAGCCACATGTTTTGGGGCTGTGTGGGCGGGACAATGTGCAAACTCCACACACACAGGAGGGATTCAATCCTTAAACCCTGCAGAGGCGAAACTGCAGTGCTTTCCAGTGTGATTTCCAGTGAGCCTCAGCACCACCACCTGTTTGTGTTATTGAGCAATCTTTTTTCACTGTTTACATAAGATTGTTATTTCACACTTAATGGAGAAGGATGTGACGTACAATAATTTAGTTGCAACAGCTGAAGATTTTGGTTATTTTCTCTCAGGTGGTTAAAAACAAGGCAGTACTGTCGACGATTGAAGCAGAATGCGACAACGTGCATTTCCTGTTTTTCAAGAAGAACACCGGCTTCTCCATGTCCAGCTTTGAGTCGGTCAAATTTCCCACATGGTTCATCAGCACAGCTTTGGCAGACAGGAAGGCCGTGGGAATGTCCCAGGCTGCGGCCCAGGGCCACAACACACATTTCATAGTGAAAAAGATATGAGGAAGACATTGTGTGTGTGCCGAGAACAGCATCTCTGTATGTCCAGCCAACAAAGCATGACGTAGACAAAACACAGTGCTTTAAATGACACTTTCTGCTTTAGAATTTATTTAAAAATAAAGAATGATGCAGGTATTTATTTTTAAGCTTAATTTATTAGTGTATTTAAGATGAGATATTTTGTTGTAAGCTAAATTTATGCAGTGTTTTCGTCTTCAAATTAAAAATAAACAGTTTAAGTAAAATATAACTCCTTGTATATAGATATTAATTTTATTCGCTGGGTACTTGGTGGCGTCAGGTTTCTGATTCATCACAGCCATGAAAGGTATACAACCAGATTGAACGGCAATGATTAAATTGGATGCGGGCACAAAATGTATACGAAAATTTATTGAGAACATAAGAAATTTACAAACGAGAGGAGGCCATTCAGCCTATCAAGCTTGGTTGGGGAGAACTTAAAATCTTATCTAGCTCTGATTTAAAGGAACCCAAGGTTTTAGCTTGCACTACACTAACAGGAAGAATATTCCATATTCTAACTACACACTGTTTGTCCATTTTTAAATGTTCTCCCGCGAATTTCCAACTATGCCCACAAGTTCTAGTATTTAAACTAATACTGAAGTAACTATTTGGCTAAACAGCAACCAGACCTGTTAGAATCTTATAGGCCTGGATCATGTCCCCCCTTAGTCTCCTTTGCTCAAGGCTGAACAGATTCTGCTCAGCTAACCTCTCCTCATAAGACATTCCACTAAGACCAGGAATCATTCTTGTAGCCCTATGTTGCACCCTTTCTAAAGCAGCAATGTCCTTCTTAAGGTATAGTGACCAAACCGGCACACAATATTCTAGGCTGGGTCTTACCAAGGAATTGTATAATCATGGAAGCATAAACGTACACACCAAGGAATTTCCCATAATCAGCTACCTTTATTTCAGTGGAACCCATAAAATATCTGTACTTTATATTTCTGCTCCCTGCAAGGATTACCTTACATTTATCTACATTAAATTTCATCTGCCAGGTATTGTTCCACTGCCCAAGAAGAAGAGCGCAGTGAGCTGCCTGAACCCCACAAGCTGGTTCAAAAGCTGAGCAACCTGGGCCTCAGCTGCTCACTGTGCACCTGGATAATGGGCTTCCTCAGCAACAGACCCCAGAACGTCAGGATAGGAGACCACATCTCCTCCACTCTCACCCTGAACCCTGAACACAGGCACGCCGCAGGGCTGTGTCCTCAGTCCCCTCCTCTACTCCCTTTTCACCTCCGACTGTTTTCCCATTCACACCAGCAACACCATCATCAAATTTGCTGACGACACCACTATTGTAGGACTGATTGACAACAACGACGAATCAGCCTACAGGGAGGAGGTCCAGCAGCTGAGGCAATGGTGTGACAGTAATAACCTGGAACTGAATACATCCAAAACCAAGGAGACGATAGTGGACTTCAGGAGAGCCAAGCAGGCTGAGCACTCTGCCCTCTACATGGATGGAGAAGAGGTAGAGAGGGTGGAGAGCTTCAAGTTCCTAGGGGTTCACATCTCTGCCGACCTCACCTGGTCCACAAACATCTCTCACCAGGTGGGGAAGGCACAACAAAGAATGTACTCCCTCAGGAAGATGCGTCGGGCCCACCTCCCCCAAAAAGCTGCTGACCAATTTTTATCGCTCTACCATTGAGAGCCTCCTGACCTACTGCTGCACAGTGTGCTTCAGTAGCTGCACTGAGGGAGACAGGAAGAACCTGCAGCGGGTGGTAAGGGCAGCAGAGCGGGTAATGGGAACGGCACTACCCCCCCTCAAGGATATTTACACTGGCAGACTCCACTGGAGAGCCAGTAAAATCATCAAAGACTTCTCACACCCTGGACACTACCTTTTCTCCCCCCTCCCGATGACGCTACAGGTCAATCAGAGCAAGAACAAAGAGACTGAACAAAAGCTTTTACCTACAGGCAGTCAAATGCGCCCATCCCTCACCTCCTCTGTGAAACAGTATCCACCCCCCTGAATAACTGTCTTTGTGCAATACTATGCATAGGGCAGGTCATTAAGCACACACTACCTCCGACTGACATATTGTACACATTGTACTCAGACACTCATACTGTAATAGGATGGCTGTCTCTTTTTGTATGTTGTTCTTGTTTCTTATTACTTTAACTTATGCTGCTAAACAGAAAGCTGCTAAACTGTTTTTCACTGTTTCTGTAATAGTGACAATAAAGATCTATCTTATCTTATCAGCCCAGTCACTAATTAAATCAAGATCCCATTGTAGCCCCTGTGTTGCTAGTTCAGTATCTGCTACGCCACTCCTCTTGGTGTCATCTGAAGATGTAACCAGTTTACTGTATGTATTGGTGTCAATATCATTAATGTAAATTAGGAACAATAGTGATCCTAAAATTGAACCCTGCGGTACCCCACTATGAACGCAGGCCCACTGTAACACTGTGCCTTTAATAACTACCCGCTGTTTCCTGTCTGTTAACCAGTTTTCAGTCCATCGAGCGATGCGGTACAAATCGATTCAAAGCACAGCATTTTATTTTCAGTACGAGACGATCCCGTAATACAAAGGACAGGTAGCATCTCTACTGGAGACCTAGAGGTGAGAAAAAGCATCGGCCTAGTGAAACTACAAGGTGCGCAAGTTAAAGACATCCCTACCATGGCAACGGACAGTTTCGATACATATAGTACAAGCAAAGTAGGAAGACCCGGGCAAAATTTGCTTCCTGGTGTAGGTACGTAATGGCGTACAACCAATGAAAACGATGAGAGGCGGTCCTATCGAGGGCGTATTATCAAGCTTCATCAGAGAGAGGGAGGGCGGACAGCTGGCCTCTTATTGGCTGGTTTAAACGTCCAAAACAGCCAATGAGCGGCAGGGAGCGTTATTTGGTTGTAAATAATTTCTGTAGCGCGGTAGCACAGTTTAGTTTGTCTTCTAATTCACGCTTGAATAGTGGAGTGACAGTCGGGCTTGTTTCAGTGCAAACCTTTTAATGTCATCTGTCGCTGCCGCTCAGTAAAGAGCAGGATGGAAAAAGATGAGGCTCCCACTAAGCTTTCTGGACGAGGTATTTCAGCCTGTACATTGGTGACGCATTGCTGACCCGCTTTGTTGTGATGATGAATAATGTTGCTGTTATATTTATATAGATATATATTATAAATGTGAGTACTATAACTTGCACAAAAAGCTGCCAGTTATAGCGTGAGCGTTTCTTAACTTGACTGACCGAATTAATAATCAGTCGAGGCCGTTCGGGTTGGTTCAGAAATTAACGGCCTCACCGGATAGATGATTTTCTTGCGTAGTGTGTGTTAGTCTTATGTAATCATCCGTCTTTCATTTTAGTACGGTAATGATTAGGTGTCTAACACATTGCTCTCCTATATATATAGGTGCAAAGGGTTTATTGACACCCTTAATGAAAATTGGCTGCATTGAGTGATCTTTTCAGGCTTAAACAAATAGAAAAGCTTCATGGTTATATTTTCAAACAGATCTTTGGAACAAAATAGTTTTCCTTTAGTAACTATTTTTAAATAAATATACAGATTCCAAAAATATTGGAATTTCAGTATTCAGTGGCGTGTCACCTGGCTTTAATGAAAGCACTCAGTCTGGTTCTGTAATCTGTAGTGTCCAGCCGGATTGGAGAACACGTGGAGGAATTTTGGACCATTCTTTCATGCAGAACACTTCCAACTCATTGAGATGAAATGAAAACATAACGTAAAAGCAGTGAATGTAAAACTTAAAAAAACCTAATCTATAAAAGCAAGAAAAGTTAAATTTGCAAAGTTTAAGTTTTTCCCCCTTCCTATAACAGAGTAAAAATATTTTACCGAAACTTTAAGTTCGGTACCTGGTGCGTTGGAAAAAAACGCCCTCTTATGTAGAACTCATCCAAAAGGCTTCTCCTCATGGAGGGGGCCCCTCTGCTGATTCAGAAACTATGAAACCCCAAGAATCAAGTAAATTTGGCAGTTGTGAAACTATGATCTTTGGGCTCCACTTTGCCTCCCTTGGCTTTCAACAGTTCCCTGCATTTAATTTTTTTTGTAGCTGTTCCCTAATCTATGCAGCTCAACAGTTACTTTTCCTCATTCAAACTGAGAGTTCTTGGTTTTACTTAAGTTGATGACAAAAGGGTTGTGTGTTGCCTCATTTATATCCCAGTGAAACAGGAAAAGCTTGTAGACAAGTTCCTAAACACTACTAAAAATAATATCAAGAAACATTTTTGGGTTTTTTTATACTATTCTTCAAGGGTGCCAGTAATTTTGCCACATATATTTTTGACAGAATAAACTACTCTGAAGAGAATTCCAGCAAAGGTTTTTATTACGTGAATAGTCAGCAGTTTCACCAAATTTAAATAAAATTATAAGTAGTATTCTGAATGTTTTTACTTACTATCTTGAGGGGGTGCCGATATTTCTTGAGTTGACTGTATCAGCAGCTCTGATCTCCCTGTTTTTACAGAAGCGCGCAAGCAGAAGCTGATGGAGTACCTCACCAGAAAGGGCAGGCAGAAGGCTCCCGATCCCAGGTACATTACCCTTCATTTACCTTCTCAGATTGTCAGTTGTGTGGGGCTCAGTTTCCCACATATGCCTGTAGCTGACCTACTTATCATTTCTGTGTCTCATCAGATCATATCTTCAGCAGAACTCCACTAACTCTAAAAAGCTCACCGACACCTTTGTGAAGCTTCCCACTGTGAGTACTTGGGAAATGCATTTTTTTTATGTCAGCCTGTGAATGTTTTTGGCTGTCTGGGGTGAGGGTATAGGATGAACATTTCCATTTGGAATATACATATTGCTTAAATTCCCCAGTATTCCCACAACACCCTGTGTGCTGTTGGGTACATACCTCTTAAAGGCATTTTCTTACTACACTTTGTACATTCCAGTCTATCAGGGGAAAGGAGAACCAGTCTGACCCTCCCGGACCGAAGCCAGTTGTGACCTCAGCCCGACCTGCTAGGGGAATCGGCAGGACTTCGCTTCAGGCTGCATCCTACGCTGCCTCCAGTACCAGGACGTGCACAACAGCACGTCGCACACAGCACAGTCCAGCCGATCAGCTTGCCCCTCGTCCTCACACAGTCAGAATTCCCACTGCGTCCCACCCCAAGACTGCTAGCGACTCGATCGGCAATCCTGTCAGCTGTTCTGCTAGAGCCCAGTCAGACGCCCGGCAGCCATTGGGGCGCCCGAGCACGTCCCAGCAGCCCTTGGGGCGCCCGAGCACGTCCCGGCAGCCCTTGGTGCGCCCGAGCACGTCCCGGCAGCCCTTGGTGCGCCCGAGCGCGTCCCGGCAGCCCTTGGGGCGCCCGAGCGCGTCCCGGCAGCCCTTGGGGCGCCCGAGCGCGTCCCGGCAGCCCTTGGGGCGCCCGAGCGCGTCCCGGCAGCCATTGGGGCGCCCGAGCGCGTCCCGGCTGGCTTTGGGGTGCCCCAGTACTGCAGTTGGACGGCCAAACACCACAGTTATGGCCCGCTTGCGTGCTAGCCATGCTGCTCTGGTGACATCAGGGCCCAAGGAGGCTACCTCGGCACCTAACCGCACCCCTGCTGTCCCTGGCTCCAAACTAAGCAAGCCTGACCTTGCTTTGGGGGTGATAGGGTCGAGACCTTTAAATGGCAGAAAGGCTCCACCTAAACCCGCTCTGCCTCGAGTCCGGCAGCCACCCGAATCGGGTCCGGGTGCCAGACCGGGTTCCAGGGCCAGAACCACGCCCCTGGCAGGGGGACGGCAGTCCGGCCCGGCCAAAGCACGCTCCGGAGCCTCAGCTCTGCACAGAGTGGTGCAGCAGGCAGTGGCTGGGCTGGACAGGAAGATGTGCTGGGGGGTTGTCCCCCCACATGTTGATGGGGCTAGAAACGGGACCCTGGCAGCGAGCAGAGCAGACCAAGTGCCTGTCACTGCTACCCCATGGCAGGGCCGGAGAAAGCTGACCACGGCGCAGGAGGAGAGATTGTGAGTTGCCTCACCATCTTCATGTGTTTGGTGTAAACCTTCGTAATTTCAGTTAATTTTCTGGTATATGACTGTCTTTTAGTGCCCCCCCCCCACATGAGGTGGTACATTCCATCGCATTCTCTCACTTCTCTTCTGGCTGCTGCAGGCAAAAGCTTCATGAGTGGCGAGAGGCAAAGGGCATCTCTTACAAGCGCCCCCCCATGCCTATGAAGCCTTGCAGGAAGAAAGAGGTCGCCCCTCCCTGCTACTGGCCCACCATGGAGAAGGAGGACGAGGTCCACCGCCTTGTCTCCAGCATCGACAGCTCGCTGACAGACTGCATGCAGCTGCTGGAGGAGGTAACCAGGACTGCAGGCGGAGATGAAGCTGGATCCCTGTCCTGCACGTTGGCTCCTCTCTGCATGTGTGCTGTGTGTCTCCCCAGGGCTGTCCCACGGAGCGTGTGACCCAGCTGCTCTCTGCATGTGTGCTGTGTGTCTCCCCAGGGCTGTCCCACGGAGCGTGTGACCCAGCTGCTCTCTGCATGTGTGCTGTGTGTCTCCCCAGGGCTGTCCCACGGAGCGTGTGACCGAGCTGCTCTCTCGACTGCCCATGGCTCACAAGTTCGCCAAGTACTGGATGTGCCGGGCGCGGATCCTGGAGCGGGAGGGGAACCTGGAGGTGCTGCCGCTGTTCGAGGAGGCTGTACGCGTGGTGCTGGAGGTACAGGCGCCAGGCCCGTCCGGGGTCACCACAGGTCAAGGGTGCCCTGATCGTGGGCTGGTAAAACAAAACTGACCCGCCTCTCTCTCTCTCTCTCTCTCTGCATGCAGCCCGTAGATGAGCTGCGCACCCTGATATACGAGATACTTAAGAAAAAGGAAGTTCAGAGTGAGTCACTTGGCAGTCTGTCCTCTTGCACCCCGCTGTGCTGTAATTCGTTTGCTGCCTATTTGGAATGTTTTAAGCATCATAATGGGCATTTTTACAGAGTTATTCTCTCTCTCTTAGCTCTAGAAGCAGAAACTGGAGAACAGACTGATCTGCAGGACGAGGCCCAGGAGATGTCAGGAGCCGTCCCTGTCACACCTCGAGCCACCAGCGTCCTTATTCGGGGGGCCAAAGAGGGCTCCTCTGTGGTGAAGTACAAGATCACAGCTACCCCAGGGTTCGTGTCTGACGGCTCGGCCATGATGGGTCGTGTTTCAGCTGGTTGACCCTCTATGTTGTATCTTTGTGTCTCCAGAGCCCAAAAGTGTCAGCAGCAGGAGCCCATGCATGTGGACGGTCAAGAGCTGAGATTCTTCACCCCGGTACGGCGCTCCGTGCGTATCGAGAGGTCCGCCCGGCGATATCCCTCAGCCCTGCGTGAGCACGACCCTTGTGTGGCCTCCCTCAGGGACCTGCTAGCGGACGAACTCCCTGAGGGCAGAGAGTCTCTCTACATCTACAGAGAGAACGAGGCCCTGGGTGATCAGGTTCAGCTGCAGTTCAGGTCACCCGAAGCTCTGTGATCTCCATGCTGCCCCCATGTGGTGATATGATTTTCTCAGCATCTGCATGCTGTCCACATGTACAGTACATGATCCAACTGAGAAGCAGTCAAGGTTTTGTTTGGATGCCACTGTCTGCTCCAGCATTTTTATGTGCTCTCGGTGTGTAAGAAAAAAAGTCATTTTAGTTATTTATGTGTTATGTGTAATGGGGGGAGGGGGGGGGGCTGGAGGAAAACGTAATGTATATTTTACATAATAAATTTTTTTCCTAAAAACTGTGTCACGGGAATATGTACACTGACAGGCTACTGGCCTGACGTCATCCTGTTTTTCCCGTCTTTTGCGTGGTGCTTGAGTCGAGATAGGTATTTCACTTTAATCTGGCTTGTTTTACGTAAACGTCTTGAAATAATAACTACAGTAAGTATCTAAACTTTGTGTATACCGACCTCTTGTGGTCGGTCCAAATATCTTAACCCGACCACCACCAAGAAAAGTACTTTCCTATCACTCATCTGAATTAATAAGGAAACGGCATTACTGAGGAGAAAGTGTTATGTATGCTGACCTTTGTTGGTTAGCGGTGTAACTTCCGGGATGGTTTAGCGATATAACATTCAATAGAAAACACTTTCTTATGTAATGAAACCATCTCTCAAAAAGTCAGAAAAGTTATTGCAAAAAAGTTAATTACATATTAAAACAATTGTAAACAATCGGTGTTCTCATTTTTTCCGGTCTGATGTTAAATTGTGCCAGGTCAAAGGGGAATACGGGGGTTATTTCAGTCTGAGCGTCTTGGACAACTTTTAAAAAAAAAGCACCAGCTCTCCACCCCCATTACACCCTGATCTTTTTATAGCCCTGCTTATCTATCACTCCGAGCATCGGCCTCAAACCATGGAAAGCCTCACCATTAATCACTGGATCGGAACCCCGGTACGTAACCAGCCCTTCTTCGAGGGAGTGAAACCGAGGGACTGCGTAGAGGACCACAGCCTTTTCGCCCTCCCCGGTCCTGCTTTTCCAGCTCTGGGTGAATGCGACGGGACGGCGCTCCGCAGACAGAGGCAGGGAGCCGATCTCGGTTTTCAAGTGCTGCTGGACGTGGCTCAGTTCCGCCCCGAGGACATTCTCATCCAGGTGTTTGAAGGCTGGCTGCTTGTCAAATGCCAGCACGGCCGCAAGATGGACGAGCATGGCTTTGTTTCTCGCTGCTTTACTCGGCAGTACCGGCTTCCCGAGCACCTTCGGGCAGAAGACTTGAGAGCCATGCTGTGTCATGATGGGATCCTGGTGGTGGAAACCAAAAGCTGCGCCCCCAGTTCCCCATGAACACCTCCAGTTACACACTGGCTGGTAACCGAATCACCAAGGCTGTATATGTAATGTTGGCCTATCACTTATGTTTAACACTAGCAATTAAAAACAGAAATGTGTGACGGCGAACGAGTTATATGTAGCACTTAATAAACCTAAATGGCTGTGAGTCTCAGGATCATTTTATTTTCCGGGCATATGATTGCTTGTCTATGAATAGCACAATAGGCATCGCACTAGATCGTCTTTCAGTTTTATTTAGGGCGTCTTTAGTTAGATGTTTTGAGTTGAACGTTTTTCGCAAAGTTAAGACCAATTATAGGCTACTTCAGCATTATGAGACAAAATAAATGTAAAATAATTATTTGTGTTCTTAATTTGGTGAAGTGAAAGCGATTATTGACACAGCACAGCGCTCAACAACGAAATGTGTCCTCTGCATTTAATCCATATGTAATATATATGTGCCAATGGACAGCTATTGTCTAGCGCCCGGGGAACAGTACTTTGCTGCTCGGGGATTCGAACCAACAACCTTTCGATTACACGCACGCTTTTCTTTACAATAGCATTTAAATTCAAAGATTTAGTGGTTACACGATTCTTAATCGGTAAATGGCCTGCTGTCATTCAGGAGCATATGGGGAACGTGGGGCATGTATCCTACTCTCCGTCCTAATTTCGCTTTATTCATGCATCCAGTAAACAGACTTTTGAATTTAAATTGTGTCCCCCCCCCAATCAAATAAATAAATAAAACTCTCTCCTACGCCGTTGCTGCTATTTGATAAAGTGTTTAACTTTGTCTGCTGCACGTCCACGGCAGAGCCACTCGCCGGTCGAATTTTTGGTTGAAAGGGCTGCTGCATTTCCAGAAATGTGAAAGCCGTGACCGACAGGGTACTAACTGGGACGAGTGGGACATAACGGGAGCAGCACGTACTAACTGAGAGCAGGGGGCAACGATAGTGACTCGCGTCGCTGCTTGACATGCAGCCAGTATACGGGCTCCTCCTCCCCAGGTTTCAAGCCGAGCATGTGCGGCGCTGTTGGTTTCTCATACATGAGTGTGGGTTGCGGGAGGAGGCAGTTGCAGGAACTGAAGCGCTACAATGCGCATTGGGCTGAGGTCTGGATGCATCTACAAACTCAGACGACGGCAAATTAAGGAAGCTGCCCTACTAACGCCGGAAGAATACTTGTGGAAAGAGCTGAAAATATCACTTTTGAAGGAATTGCGAAGCTTGTCTCGGCTGGCCGGACAGGTCCTCCCGGAGAGGTGCTGCCCCAAATGATGGCGTTGAGGGCGAAGGCTTTGTACGACTTCGATTCCGAGAACCCGGGGGAGATCTCCGTGAAGAAAAACGAAGAGCTGACTTTACACAGTGAACGAGACATAGAGGGCTGGTTTGAAGGTACGAACGCCAGAGGGGTTCGGGGACTGTTCCCCGCTTCTTATGTGGAGATCCTGAGAACCAGCGCTGGTTCCGACAATCCGGAGGCGGCACACGGCGGTGTCGCTGCGGGAAGCTACGGAGCTTCATCTACCAGCCAGACTCCAGTCGATCAGTCCGCCAAAACCACGCCACCCAAATTACCTGCTCATCCCACCTCATCTCATCATAAGTATCAGTCTAGCGACGACGACTGGGATGATGACTGGGATGAGAGTTCAGGCGGCGGAGGCGCTCCCAGTGTCGGAAGACACAGCGACGGCAATGGACCTTCAATATACAGTCTATCAACTTCAGCGGGCCGGGGTCCGAATGCCCAGCAAGGCAGGGGCTCGGGAACAGTAAGCAGGAACCTCAACAGGTTCACAACCTTTGTGAAATCTGGCGGGGAAGCGTTTGTGCTGGGGGAGGCGTCGGGTTTTGTAAAGGATGGGGACAAGATCTGTGTCATAATGGGACAGTACGGTCCAGAATGGCAGGAAAATCCTTACCCGTTTACCTGCGCTATTGATGATCCAACCAAGCAAACAAAATTCAAGGGGATTAAGAGTTATATCTCATACAAGCTCACACCTACCAACACGCAGAGCCCAGTCTACAGGAGGTACAAACACTTTGACTGGCTGTATGCCAGGTTAGTGGAAAAATTCCCAGTTATCTCTGTTCCCCATATTCCCGAGAAACAAGCCACGGGGAGATTTGAAGAGGATTTTATTTCTAAAAGGAGGAAAGGACTTGTATGGTGGATGAACCATATGACTAGTCACCCCATATTGTCCAAGTGCGACGTCTTCCAGCACTTTCTCACTTGTGATAGCTCCGATGAAAAGGCTTGGAAGCAGGGCAAAAGGAAAGCGGAGAAGGACGAGCTGGTGGGAGCCAGTTTCTTCCTAACGATCAGCACGCCCCCAGCCCCACTCGACCTGCAGGAGGTGGAGGGGAAAATTGAGGGCTTCAAGGCTTTCACGAAAAAGATGGACGAAAGTCTGCTGCACGTCAATGGTGCGATAAATGAATTTGCGAGGAAGCATGTGACGGGGTTCAAAAAGGAGTACCTGAGAGTAGGACAGTCATTCAAATCCCTCGCCCAGGCTTTTGAAATCGACCAGCAGCCCTTCTCTGCTGGCTTAAACCACGCCATCGCCTACACCGCCGAGACCTACGAGGCCATCGGAGATTATTTTGCCGAGCAACCGAAACACGACCTGGACCCCATAATTGATTTGATAACCGTCTACCAGGGACACCTGTCAAATTATCCAGACATCATCCACGTTCAGAAAGGTAAGGTAGCCTCTCAGCTTTGCATATAACAGTTGATTCAGCCTATTGTGCTGAGAGTAGTTAAAGTTTGCTAAGGCAGAGAAATTGAAAGTTAAAGTGAACTGAAAACATAACCATGTATTTTATCATTTGTGACTGTTCTCAAATTATGTAACGACATACTCGCTAGCCTGCATAATAATAATAATAATTTAAAATTTAATAATAATTAAATAATCTACTACTATTATTATTATTATTATTATTATTATTATTATTATGTAGCATGGTGGTGCGGTGGTTAGCACTGTTGTCTCCCCCCCACTGGGACCCGGGTTCCAATCTCCGCCTGGGTTACATGTGGAGTTTGTATGTTCTCCCCATGTCATCATGGGGTTTCCTCCGGGTACTCCGGTTTCCCCCAACAGTCGAAAGACATGCTGAGGCTAATTGGAGTTACTAAATTGCCCATAGGTGTGCGTGTGTGAGTGAATGGTGTGTGAGCGTGCCCTGCGATGGGCTGGCCCCCCATCCTGGGTTGTTCTCTGCCTCGTGCCCGTATCCTCCGGAATAGGCTCTGGACCCCCCGCGACCCAGAAGGATAAGCGGGTTGGAAAATAGATGGATTATTATTATTTTATGACAGCCTAACTAGTGGCTGAGTTGCAATTATCTGGTAGTTACTGTTACGATGGGAATATGTGTGTTTATAATTGCTTACTAAGAGACACTGGCAGTTTTATACGAGACAAGCAGTGTGCGAAATACCCGTCCATATTCAGGTTGCGCAATACCGATCTTGAGACACCCTTAAAATTTTCTCATGGGTTAATCGGGGGTGTCGGACCCCCCCGATCCCCCCGTATTTCGCATACTGGAGACAAGCCGCATTTATGTTACAGCACTGATGTTTCCTTATTGGATTATGGGTTCGATCCACGAATTACATTGGCCTCATCCATAAGAAACTCTTTCTTTTTAGTATTATGGTCCTTAAAGCTTTTTTCCTTAAAGCTTTTTTTTTTTAACTAGTCTGCAGTTTCTCTTAGTTCAGGATGTTGACACAGGGGTATGTGAACTAAAGGGCGTAACTTTGGGTTGTGCATGGTGGGGGGGGGGGTTGAGCTGAGGTCTCAAACCATTCAAGGGGGTCCAGGGGGTTGCATTGA